TTATCCTCGAACGTAGCATCTGATGAACACCTTTTGCACTTTACTATCTAATATGTTTAAATCTAACCTAGTCTTGTTTAACTCCGATTTGGTATATTCTAAGACCGAAAACAATCCAAGTAAAAGCATTAAAGTTTTTTGTTAAAGAAACAGGAAAGAGCTTAGCACATGTTGCTAAAATACAAGATTTTAAGTACATGTATAACTTCTACTCTATAGTTTTAAACTCAATCCACTTTATTGGTCTAAATTACGATAAAGGATGTTTTTACTTGGACTGTTTCCGGTGCAAAAGCAGACCGGATCAAACCAAACTTAAACGTATATGTGAAACAATACCTTTGTTTTTACCTTTTTACTTTAATGTCTTTGCATAACTTATGAGTGATAATATATTTCTAGAATTATATTTTAGACATTCTTGTTATAGAAATATGCTTGTTAGTGATACTATTTAGTCTTGGACTCGGGTCGGGCCGCCCGACCCGGAACCGGTATTGTTTGGGCCCGGCTCGGTGACCCGCTACAGTCCAGTTCGGGTAGGCCCGGACCGCTGGTTAGGGAAGGGCGGGCTCGGGTCAGCTGAATATGGAACCTGCCCGGGCCCGGTTCGGGCTTCATTATTATTATTATTATTATTATTATTATTATTATTATTATTATTATTATTATTATTATTATTATTATTATTATTATTATTATTATTATTATTATTATTATTATTATTATTATTATTATTATTATTATTATTATTATTATTATTATTATTATTATTATTATTATTATTATTATTATTATTATTATTATTATTATTATTATTATTATTATTATTATTATTATTATTATTATTATTATTATTATTATTATTATTATTATTATTATTATTATTATTATTATTATTATTATTATTATTATTATTATTATTATTATTATTATTATTATTATTATTATTATTATTATTATTATTATTATTATTATTATTATTATTATTATTATTATTATTATTATTATTATTATTATTATTATTATTATTATTATTATTATTATTATTATTATTATTATTATTATTATTATTATTATTATTATTATTATTATTATTATTATTATTATTATTATTATTATTATTATTATTATTATTATTATTATTATTATTATTATTATTATTATTATTATTATTATTATTATTATTATTATTATTATTATTATTATTATTATTATTATTATTATTATTATTATTATTATTATTATTATTATTATTATTATTATTATTATTATTATTATTATTATTACTATTATTATTACTATTATTATTATTACTATTACTATTACTATTACTACTATTACTACTATTACTATTATTATTATTATTATTATTATTATTATTATTATTATTATTATTATTATTATTATTATTATTATTATTATTATTATTATTATTATTATTATTATTATTATTATTATTATTATTATTATTATTATTATTATTATTATTATTATTATTATTATTATTATTATTATTATTATTATTATTATTATTATTATTATTATTATTATTATTATTATTATTATTATTATTATTATTATTATTATTATTATTATTATTATTATTATTATTATTATTATTATTATTATTATTATTATTATTATTATTATTATTATTATTATTATTATTATTATTATTATTATTATTATTATTATTATTATTATTATTATTATTATTATTATTATTATTATTATTATTATTATTATTATTATTATTATTATTATTATTATTATTTTTATTATTATTATTATTATTATTATTATTATTATTATTATTATTATTATTTATTTATTTATTTATTTATTTATTTATTTATTTATTTATTTATTTTTTAAAACCCGGGTTAGGCTGGGTATTTTGGGCCATTTGGGGTGGTTTGGGGGGCGGGGGGTGAGGGGGGGGGTCGGGGTTAATTAGAAAAAGGAAAAAAAATACAAAGTGGCCCGAGGCTCGGCCCAACCCGACGGTAACCCGGGCCGGTCCCGGGCCTTCCCCCAAACACAAAAGTCCCGACCGGGCCCGGCTCCATGATACTATTATAACTTCATGTTCATAATTTCAGAGTATTTTTAAAATTATATTCGATAGTGGCATCATTCACTTATTAATGGTGACAATTATATCTTTATTTTTATTTTTATATAATATAAAGTAACAGTCAGGCCACAGCTTTTGGAGCCAAAATTGCCGCCCAAAATAAGGATAAAAATGTAAATAGGTTTTCCGGAGAATACATGAAATAGGTATGTGTGTTCTGAATATTTCTTTCCATTAATGGAGCATATAATACCTTTAATGTGCCTCAAACAATAATACGGTTATTATTGGAGAATTGGAGTAGAAAGCGGTGGAATGCATAATATAAATATCATGATTTTAATCTATAAGGTTCCATAATATCTAATTTCAGTTCGGTCATAAATAAAAGCAATATTGCATTATGAAATTTTGCTTAAATTAAGAGTCCGTTTAGTGATCCTATTTTTTTGGCTTATCGGGTTTATCTGCCAATTTTTAACCAAGCATGCAACTTTTGCTTTCGTACGTTGAATTGTGTTACAATAGAAAAATGTAAGGTTGAAATTACTTTTTAGTTGTATTGACTGAAGTTACTGTAAATGTCATTTTAACTATTTTTCACATACGTAGTAGTTTTTTATTTTAGTAATAATTTTATTTAATAACTTTTTCATAAAACAAAATTCAATCAATTCAACCAATTCAGCTAGAACTTCATAAATTTTAGCAGAATCAGTCGATTCAGCCAAATTCAATGTCTCTAAACGGGCTTGAAATGAATATACCTATTATACCATACCATAGCTCAATCATTTACATTAGGTTACAAATAGTTCAATTAGAAAACTTTTGCCAAAATAATATGTACAATTCTTAGTTTCTCACCTTATGAAATAATGTCCGCATAATAGTTACACAATGTAATGATTTGGGCTACATACAAACTACAAAACAATTATGAGATTGACACGGATTTGATACAGATTAATCGATGATTTTATGCCTAATAGTTCTGAATTTGGCACATCCCTGCCAAATCTTATCTCCCGCCGCCCTAAAAAAGTTTGCCAGATTGACTTTTCTTGATCAATAACAATCAACTTTGATCAATTAATTTTTTTTAATACAAATTATTTTGTTTACAAAAATTATATCAAAATGTCCCTTATTAAAAAAATTATAAAAGTATAAAATTTATAAATTACGTACAAATATTATAATTAAAACCATTGCCCAGATTTTTGCATCATTGATCAAGAAAAGTCAATATGACGAACCTTTTCGGAATAAAGGTTGGATAAATCACACGAGAACAAAGATCCATAATGTACCCAAAAGTGTTACAATATTACTGCAAAGTGTTACATACGAGAAAATGTAACACTTTTTAACCATTACATTTGCTCATTTTGCATTTTTTCTATTGTAACACTTTAGTCACTAATGTAACATTTATATATACTCCTAAAAAGTGTTCACTAGGTTAATATGTAATACTTTTATAGGTATGTCACATTTTTAATGTTACATCACGTCTAAAATTGTACTGTAGTACTGAATTTTTGTAAATCTCTGCAAAAAAAATTGTCCACCCCGTTTTTATTAGTTTATTACAGATTTGGCATATGGAAAAAACATAAGCATATTAATGGAGCATTTAATACCTTTAATGTGCCTCAAACAATAATACGGTTATATTGAACAAAAATAAATAGAGCAATTCATTTGTAGAAAGTGGAACATATATGGTTGATTATATTGCTTCCATTTGGAATTCATTTGGAGTAGAAAGCGGTGGGACTTGGGAGTAGAATTTTCCATAAATACAATCTCATTGTAAATATGTAATGACGCGTGTCATATGTGAGCTATAAAATACTCCAAGGAGGTCATAAATATGGAATGCATAATATCCGAGCTTCACTTTTTAAGATTCATATCCAAGCTTCACTTTTTAAGATTTAAAATTCATATCCAGATTTTAAATTCACGCATTTTTTTTGAAATAGTGAAAAATACATATTCTGTACTAAATAATGGACCAATGAAACACACTCATACAATAAGTTGATAATACATGTAAAACTAAAGCACACATATATAATAGTCTTTGAACACAATAATATAATGATTTGTAGAATTAACTTCCAAATAATTCATAGTTTCAACCTAAGTGTCTTCAACGCATATTAGTTCCAATACTTTACATTAAGTAATTACCTAATAACATAATTTATTAATCTTTCTATTAATTTCATGATGTTTCAATTTTTAAGATTTATTATCAACCAAGCTCGTGATCTTAAGATTAAAAATTCATATTAGGATTTGAAGAATATGCCTTCTTTGGTACTGTGTGCTCTTATATAGAATATTAATATTAATTCAATATTGTGGTATTTGAAATCTAGAACCATCGTTATATTATATAAACTAGCAAAATTATTACAAGTTTTAAAGGAAAAATTATCGTCCAATTGGAGGACCTAAATGTAAATATGTGTGCCTAGGAAACGGGTGCCTAGGAAACTATACTCGTATGTTGTCATGTCTGGAGTTATCTCAAAGACTTATTGAAATTTAATACAGAGATAAAAATAAGGTGTCACCACCATTAAAAGTGTTATTACAAAGATGCATCTCAAAACTTTAATTGAATAGTTTCTTTACACCTTTAAATAAACATTTTTATAGAAATTTCAGATGAATAAAAATGGGAATACTACACTTTGCACTATCACTCATTTTCATTAACGATGGATATATTCTTATATCATATGTACGTCTTTTTCTTTTATTTGAAAGATTTATGACCATACATTTTTATTTTTCCTATAAAAGAGCATTACATAATCTAAGTTAGGACACGTGTTATTTGTATGTTTCTTCTATCAAACAAAATTAAAAATGTATATCATAAAAGTAAAATATAATTTAATCAAGTTATTATTTAACTCTAGATATATACCGTGCACGGGTCATTTGTCTAGTGTCATTTAAGGATGAAGTCGATGAATAAGCATGCGCATCAACCAACCAGTACTGAACAAATATATAACATTAAAAAAACACCACAAGGTCCATTTTACACAGCAGAACTGCAGAACCCCAATATAAAGCATAAGAGAAAAGGAAGCTCAGAAGTAGCATGTATTTGTATTTTACAGTCCTTTATTCAGACAATTCTAATCTTTTACACGATTGCTGCTTTGTCTCCAATAAAATTGATCAAGCCTCCGCTGCCTCTTTGCTTACTTGGGGATAATTTTGCCCGCTTTGCCTCATAATCCTTCACAGCGGCCTTTATGGCATCCTCTGCCAGCATGCTACAATGGAGCTTCACAGGAGGAAGGGAAAGATGTTTGGCGATTTCCCTGCAATATTATTGAATGAAAAAATCAATATACTTTTCCCTTCAATGAGTTGTGCCGGCTCTGACCTCAAATAACAAAATGAATTTATGAAGTCACAGATGACAAAGGTATGCACGGAAAGTAACATGTGTAACACAGTGCAGCACCAATTCAAATGCATATAACTCCGATGGCATGCATGGAAAGTCACAGATGTCAAGCACTAAAACAGTACAAGATACGCATTAAGCTCTATCAAGAATTAAGAGTGAGGAACATACGTATTCTTGATTGATAGCACCTCCTCCATCTGCTTCCCTTTCACCCATTCCGTTGCTGAAACAAAGGAAACAACAAGGTCAGAATGTGGTTGCAGAAGGTAAAAGAATAATGATAACAATAATACTCCCTACACCTCTATTTACTTGACAATGATGTTCTAGCACTTGTGCACACATATAAAGATCACAAATAAAAAGACTACTCTGCTCTAATTTGTGAGATTTTTCTAGTCTTTCTCTTACTAGAGTAATTATTTAAGAACCCATAAGTTCTTTTACTAATCAGGAAGATATCAAATAAGGGCAGTTTAGCAAGAAAGGAGAAAGTTGTACCTTGAAATCTGAAAATGACAACACTCTCTTCACCCCAATTTACTTGACAATTAGCAATTTGCACACATATTAAGATCTCAAATAAAAAGATTACCCAGCTCTTATTTATGACTTTTCTAATCTCTCTTACTAGAATAATTATTTTAGAACCCATAAGTTCTTGTTTTTTCGTATTCTGGAAGACACCAAATAGGGCAGTTTAGCACGAAAGGACAAAGTTCTACCTTGAAATCCAAAAATGGCAACTACTTTGGGACAACATTTAGAAGCTAAGACATAAAAAAAAATTAGGAGCAGAGGGAGTAATAAACTTGATACAACTTTGCAGGATTTAGAGTAGCAATGCGAGTCTTATTATCTACACACAAAATGTGTTCACAGAAAATAGCTGGGCAATTTAACCAAAAAACAGTGCAAAATAACACATGTAGCATCATTCATTCTGCTAAACAACTAACAAGTTGGCAAGAAAGAAGAAGCAGATGCATGAGTCGCCTGACCAACAATGGTCACAGTGCCAGAACCTGAACATATACAACTTTTAAAGATCGTGAGTTGAGACTTGAGACTTGGGACTCAACCACTAGTGGGGTTTGACACATTACCAATGTTCATTTGGCTTCTAGAATAGTATAAATAGCCTACTCTGTTTAATAAGAGGGAACCTAATGGATCAGCACAATTTAGACTCTACCACACGAGAGATTCAATTGATACTCTCATACTCTGCTATAGATTCTCTTTCAAATCTAAAAAGAGAGGAAGTTGGATGATTCAATTGATGAAAACTCCTAAAAGATTATATCTTAATTTATATTTAGAAACTATCTTTCTTCCACAACAAACCTAGACTTTTGCAACCCCAAAATAGAAACTATAGGGAAGCAAAAAATTCCAACACTAAGTATGTGGTGTCAGCGTCCTGTGGTCACTGCCATAGGACACATTCACTTTCTAAGACCTATAAAATATAGAGGTCACTAGCAACCCCACTAAACGACACTGGATTCAGAAACATAAACAATATGTCCAAGCATTATAATAACATAAGGACATAGTGTATAGAATAAAAAGCAAATCATAGAACAAGGCAACTGATACACAAAATGCCTCACTTCGCTGAAAAGTATCCATCATATCATCTTCTGCTATGCATCCACCAAGCTACATGCCACATTTTAATGAAAATTACAAGTCTCAGTGTTGTAATCAGGGACTGGAGTGTTAGATGAGCTACCTATGAGAGACGTGTCTTGCTTGAAAACTCTTGTTTCCCATCCTTATCAATCCCTTTTACTTTAATTCCTTGGATATTTTTCAAGGAAACTGCATTCTTGTAGTGTATGAGATCGTGTTTCAGCAGGATGAGGTCTTATGGGATGCTACTAATCAATTCCTTAATATGGAGTAATTAACAACTTCATACTTGCCTCTGATGGTTTTGCCTCTGATGGTTTCATTGGATTTTACATTTACCATCCCGAACTAGGATAGTTGTCTGCTATCAAGTATCAATCCTCCATATACTCCTTAAACACCCAGACCTACCATATATATGTACATAGTATAACAAATCTTATCCCAAAACTATAAGCGAAGCCTAGAATACCCAGCTAAGGCTATTACGTAACTAATATGAAAACACTAGTAATACCAATACAAAAGGAATCATCTTTGAAAATATTTTTCTGTATTCCAATACTAGACAGGCTAATAAAACGAAGTAGCAAAAAGAAGATTTATTTTTCATCAATAACGAAATTCAATTGAAGTTCAAAGGAAACGTACCCACAGAAGATGAGGCGATAGCGGAACCACAACCGAAGGTTTTGAAGCACGCGTCAACGATCTTCCCGGTCTGATCGTCGACCTTTATCTGAAGCTTCATCACGTCGCCGCAGGCCGGGGCGCCTACCAAGCCTGTGCCGACGCCGGGATCGTTCTTGTCGAAGGAGCCGACATTGCGGGGATTATTGTAGTGGTCCACGACCCTCTCGTGGTACAGTTGCGGCCACAAAGCCGTGGCCCTCGCCGCTGCAACTCGTGGGGCAAGCCCTAGAATTCTTGTTGAGCGGATCATTGTTGGAAGGCAATTATTTGTGGAGATTGAAACTCGTGAGGCAAACCCTAGTGTCAAATTATTTGTTGAGATCGCAAGATTCGCTCTGAAATTAAGCTGGCGCTGGAAGACAAATTCAGGACTTTCGGGTGTATATATATGATATGGTGGTTGTACCCACCACTTTGTACCTATCTTATACCCATAAAGCTATTTTTTTCTGTGAAGTCGGTTCACAGACAAAATATGTCTTTGAATTCCTTCATATACATATTTTGTCTATGAAGGAATTCACAGACAAAAAAAAAATTCACAAACATAGGTGGTACAAAAGTAAGTATAAAAGTGGGTACAAACATCATTTTATATATGCTATAATGGGCGGATGACGGGATGAGTGATTTCTACAGAACGTTTTTTTGTACATAGTAACTTTATTTTGAAGGGAAACTACCAAATAGATATTTCTAAAATGTCTATTATATCCTCATACTTCAAAAACATCCAATGCTATAAACAAAACGGTCCATTAGGTCTCATACTTCAAAAACATCTAATCAAAACCCCAAATTTTAAAAAACTATCAATTGGGCATTTTTGATACTCCATACAAAATCAACCACATAATTTTGAAAGAAAGTTGTTAAAGCAAACAACAAAATAAAATTTGTATTCATATCTTACGATCCATTCGATTGCCAACCAATTCCTTCTAGTTCAGTCAAGGCATAATATGATATTAATAGCCTTTTATTGTCGGAGGAGTCATAAAATGAAGAGTCTGTCAACATTTCTTCTAAAAATACTTCCTAGCACAAAGCACAAATGTTGATAAAAATTGATAATGATTGTATGTATAGAATTTTTACACAATTCTTACCAGTTTTTTAACATCCAATCTTGTAATAGCGTTCTAGAAGGAGATGGCAGCGAGTCCAACACATTCAGTGTTTTAAAATTTATGTCAACCTCAAGGAGGTACCAATGAATATTGTCTTTTTTTTTTTCTTTTTTTCTTTTTTTTTTCTTTTTTTTTTGTACCAATGAATATTGTCATCATTAATAGGAATAAATATCTGTAATGGAAAATACAAATCGTTATACTCTAATTGTTTAACTGGAGTGATATGTAATCATATCATACAAAGTATGTACCTTTCACAAATGGCATGTTTTCCCCATGAATCTCTCATGATAGATTCCACGTATTTTTGAACTGGTTCTCCTCTTTTCAACACATATTGCTACAATTTATAATTACATACTATTAGTGAACTAATGAAGCCATAATCTTAAAAATCAATGGAAATATAAAAAAGGGGTAGTGGCTTTACTGAAAAACGGCATGTAAGAACCAAGCTGATACAATTGCCGAAAACTATTTTTGATTGAAGGTCAATTTGCAAACAAGTAGGTTAAGCACCTGCAAAATGAAGGTCGCAAATAAGTATTTGAAAGACATACATGGAAATTGTTGAATTATTAATTCTAACCTCTTGATCAACAAATCTTTGATTCTGGAGACTTAAAAGTGTCTCCCTCGCTCCAACATCCAAAAATGTGCTAATCAATTGCTCTTCCCTAACCAACCGAATACATGATGTCAGGAATTCAGATTTAACTCTGCAATTGAGTGTTACAATTTGATTTTTTTAATCATACATACCTAAATGATTCTTGTACAATGGTCGTTTGAAAAATGTAGCAAACAATAGCAGCCTCAACCTGGTCAAGATTCATGCTTTTTGGAGGTCTAAAAGATATAGACATCCACTGAAATTTAAAGATATAAATTGGTTAGCATTACTAATATAGTGTGTATGCATACAAATATACAAATTACAATGATCTGTTGATGTACTTACGTCTGGTATTTCAATTCCAGAGGTTCGAGCTTCATGTTTTGTAATAAAGAATTGGTTGGTTAGTGACAATGTGCTTTGAGGTACCTGTATATTCATAGTCTGTCAAAACTATGTTTCGTTGAAACTGCTCAGTGTGCTCTTTATCAAATACTCCCTCCGTCCCCTTTTAAATGTCTCGTTTTACCATATTGGGATGTCCCTATTTAATTCTCCCATACCTTATTTGGTAAACTTTGTGTGGCTCAAAATCATTCTTACTTTATCAATTAATATCAACCACACAAACTCACTTTTCTTAAAACTCGTGCCACCCTCTCCCGTCCCATTTAAAAGGGGACGGAGGGAGTACTTTCTTTCGTGATAATGTCTGAATTGAAGAACCCAACTTCGCTTTAATTTTTTTGTTTTAGTGAATTCTTCCGATTTTTGGTTTGCTTAACATTGCATTGTTAAACACAATCTTTCTTAATCCACTCATTTCTTCTTTCAATTCTTTGAACTCTTTGAGAATCTCCTTCATGCTTTGTGGCAGGGACTCCGGTTGATAGTTCTTTTCCACGTAGTATTTTGGAGGAGAAACATGCTCCTCTTCCTCTTGAATTACAACAACAGCATTGATATTACTTTCTTTTGAACTGGCAATTATGTTAATAATAATGTCAACATCAATAGGATAAATATCAATAGTCAAGTGAAAAGCAAGCATAGACATTCTTATTTTGATGGGTTATAAAGGTTACAATTGGGGCTTCTTTTCCGTCTCAGACATGAAGGGCTTCAACAAAAGTTTTGTTTGAGATTCGGGATACTGCCCGTCAAGAAAGGTAGTGTATGGACTCTAAAGGTAGAAGCTTTAGCCCTTGCTTTACAGAGATAGTTATGAACTGACTAAATAACTCTATTCTCCCGGAACGCTAGCTAAGCTACATGTTCAGACTTGCCAGTACAGTCTTTTATTGTATTCCTAAGGCCCCTGAGGTACTTATGTTTACGGTTTTCTATCTTTTAAGCCTCCCTATGTTCCACCAATTCACAACTGAGCAGGTAATCGATATAATCATTATATCATTCTAGTGGTAGATTTGATTTCATATCTAATACATAAATTTGAATATAGATGTTAGTTATCAATGATTTCTTCAATACTAACGAATAAATTTCTAACAAAAGGGTCGGAACTCGCTGATAGGAAAGAAGAGAAAAACAAAGCAATGTCAAGAGCTCCGTCAATCCGCTGTTCATTGATACATGAAGCTCTCTCTATCATCTCGATGGGTTTGCCTTGGTATCGTGTTCATATCAAAGACTGAGTTTATCAAAGAATGACGAGGATATTACATTATCACAACAATTCAATATATATACTTCATGCATATGACAATAAGAATTCATATTATTTAATGATATACTAATCTGTTTATTTCATTCAAAATTCAATAGCACGATACTATGTTTTAATTCTGGTGCTTAAGGTGATGATTACGTATGGGTGTGACCGTATGAGTATGTATATGCATAATAAAGTAGCCGAGTACAATACCTTGATAGATTAATAATATCTTCCAATACTTTTATCTTCTTGCAAGCTTTTGTGCTCTCATCTAATTCAAGAGGCTCCCTTTAGGGCATTTTGAGTTTCCTTGCGTTTCTTCCTTGCTAGTCATGTTTTAGATAGATGAATGTACCGGTGGTGCATGTTTGCTATGTTACGTTGATACTTGCGATCACAAGGAAGGTTGCTTATATAGCAACCTATATACTGCCACAAGTAGACTTCTACTAAAGTAATTGAAGTAGTGTGTTAGTACATCTGTGTTAGTATAATAGATGTGTACATGATTATTATTGTTACTCTATATTAACTAATAATAATATTTATAATATCGTGATAGTTACTTTATAGTTAATGGTAAAATAATTTAAATATGCCAGACTTTGTGAAATAGTTAAATTCTAAACTTCCATTGTGAAATAAATAATATTACACTCGATATATATAATTATAACACTTTTAATTTGCTATGGAGTATTTGTCATCACATAACTTTGATTATTAACATACTAGTAATTAAATTACTTTTTACATTATACACACATTCTATTTCGATTTTATTTTAACAAAATGTACACGAAATCCCGAGAGCTATGTAGGGTTTAGAAAAGTAATTCTCATTGAGGAGATGCCTTATAATACATGGCTTTCATGAAATCTATTAAAAAAATCAGATTTCTTAACATTTTCACATGCAATTTTGTGCAAGTGGCACGCACAAAGACGATGTGACACATTCGGAAAAACCTGTTTTAAGGCATCTCTCATAGCATCATCACCGTCAGTGAAAACCGATGTGGGATGTTTGTTGTGCATCGCGTCCAAGAAAGCCTCTAACACCCATTTGTACGTCTCAATGGTCTCATCATCCAACTAAGCACAACCAAAAATAGTTGTTTGTGAATGATGATTACATCCAGAAAAAATTACCAATGACTTATTGTATTTATTCTTCTTGTAAGTGGTGTCAAAAGCAAGTACATCGCCAAAACATTGAATGTCTGGCCTATTGCGCCCATCTACCCAAAATAAATGCTTCAGCTTACCATCCTCTGTGGTTTGGAACTTTGAATAAAACATAGGATCATTATCAACCTTCCCTTCAAAATAACTCAATATAACATGTGCATCCCCATCTTTAATTATGTCACGTTGTTTTTTATGAAAGTGATTCTATAGATCCCTCTTTGAAAATCCAATACCAACATTCCCATCCTTTTGAGCTAACAAGTATCCCATTATGTGTCAAGTTCCAACTCTAATGCATGCGAACTATCCACCTGAGCTTTATCCGCCTCACTTAAAGCACGGTATTTCAGAATCAAATTAACATCGATCTGCAACTGGGGTAATGAGTCTCTTAAAATGATGGCACTTTTCACTTTGTTGTATTGTAATCCAAGTGGATCTTAAGCTGAGCTTGACAGTTAGTGTGTGTGAGAGGTCGGTGTTCTCTTTTTCTGTTCACCCTTGCCAAGTGGACTTTACTACGCAAACCTGCCCTATTGCATACAAGCAAACGTATGATAATGTTACCTTTAGGATCTCGACAAACGCAACTTTTTCAAATGAAGAATCCGTGGCTGTTAGCATATGCTTCATAGAATTTAAAAGCATGCTCCTCAGTGCCAAATTATAGACCTCTAATGTCATCCCATGTCAAACTAGTTATCATCTTATGGTGGCAGTGTGTTTCATCATTTCCTGGACAACATTTTCAGCATCACTATAATTAAAT